AACAACTACTTTCCTTTCTTCTTCTAAATCGTTACTTATAGTTTCGGCTTTTCGATAGGCATCATCCAACTCCTTCTGTAAACCATTCCGACTTTCGATGATGACCGTGAACTCACCGGACATATTCTTTAACTCTTCGTTCGTTTTCGTGAGAAGTTCCTTGGTTTCTGAAAGCTCATTGGCTAAGATTTCACCATTTTGTTTTGCCTCTTCAAACTTGCTTTGAAGTGAATTTCTAACTTCATCAGATTCATCCTGCAGCCTAGAAACCTCAGACTCGAGTTCTGAGCACTTACGTTTCGACTCCTTTAACTGGTTTCCGAGATCGGAAGCCTGACTTCTCGACTTGCTAAGATTCCCTCGAGCAACTTCCAATTCATCTTTCAGTATTTGTGCATTACTTGATTCTAATTCCAGCTTCTTTATCAAAACGTCTCTTTCCTGTGTCAGATCATCAATTCTTGTTTGGTTTCCATGTACTTCTTTGACAGAAATCTTAAGTTTTTCCTGCAGTTCCTGAATCTCCTGTTCTCTATCTCGTAAAAGTTCAGCATCTAACGACACCTTCTTTTCGGCAGATAATTTCAGACGATCGTATTCATCGTTTGCATTTTCCAACTTTCTCATGTAATCATCTCTCGCAATGACCAAAGAAGCTACATTTGCGTTTAATTCATCCACCATAGAAATCCTCGTCTCAAGTTCTTCCTTATTGTTCAGAAGCTCATCCTTTAAACGTTGAATCTCTAAATGGGCAGCAACCAGTTCGTCCTTTGCTCGATCGTACGACGAAAACAAGTTCTTCAATTCACCTTCCCTTTCTGCAAGGGAAGAATTGATCTTTTGAATGCTATTCTCCTTATCCTCAAGCTCCAAACCAAGCAAGTTAACCCTTTCTTGTAGAAGTTCAATAGATTTGAGACTTTCTTGCAGTTTCGCTTCAAGCGTATGCTTATCTTCCTCGGCCTTCGACAGGTCATTTTGTAGGCTACTAATGCAAACATTAAGCTCTTCTATTTTCCCCTTTTCATTTCTGACCTCTTGTCCCAAGCGTCCAATGGTAAGATTGGCTGTATTTAGTTGGTTCATCAAAGAAATTTGCTCTTCCTTTGCCTTCCTTAATTGATTTGTACGTTCTTCCTGTTCATTCAGTAACTTTGCTTCATAGCTTCTCCTCATTGAAGTAATGGAAGATTCCTTCTCTTTCAGTTCAGCATTCATCTGTGAATTCAAATATTGGTACCATAATCATTACAGAACAAAGAACACAACGATGTAAAAGCGACCCCCCCCCCCCCCCCCCCCCCCCCCCCCCCCCCCCCCCCCCCCCCCCCCCCCCCCCCCCCCCCCCCCCCCCCCCCCCCCCCCCCCCCCCCCCC